TATAAAAGAAAAATAATATTTAAAAAATATATATATATACCCAGCTATTTGAAAGTATCGAGGAGCCAGGACATCCAGTGACTGGGGTCCAAGATCCCACAGTGAAGGAAAATGCATTCAAGTGAGCCTGCCAGTCTTTTCCACTTTTTACCCGAGGATACTGCCATTCCTTAAGTAGCATGGGCTGAGAGGCTAAGCAGAATACAGTGACTTTCAGCAGTTTTGAAAGACTAGGGAGACAAAAATTAGAGTTTAAGACTTAAAAGTGAGGCAAAGATTGAAGGGAGAAAGAAACACAGAGACAGAAGCCTTTATCTTCTTGAGGTGTTGTGAATGACTAAAAGGTTAGTAATTGTTTAAGCAGAGCTCTTGAGAATGTCATGATTCTAAGCAAACTGAAAAAAGCACTGGTGGCACAATTGTTAAACACTTGGCTTCTAACTGAAAGGTTGGCAGTTCAAACTCACCCAATGGCTCTGTGGGAAAAAACATCTGGTGATCTTCTCGTAAACATTACAGCCTAGGAAACCCTATGGGGAGGCTCTACTCTGCTTCATAGGATCGCTGTGAGTCAGAATCAACTTGATGGCACACAACAACAAGGAGACTGAAGTTGGAGTTCAGGGCCCATGTTCAGGGTGGACAAAGTATTCATGAACAAAATATATAAATTCTGTAAGCCAATTAAACAGAAACAATAGAAAATTATTTTAAAATCTGAGCAATTAATTTGAGCAGGTGCTTCACAATATAGTCTATCCAAACGAGCAATAAACATAAAGGACAATGCTCAACCTCGTTATCTCATTGGTCACCAGGGAATTAATTGCTAATTCAGTCCAACTTAGATACAACTACACACCCACCAAAGTGGCTAAAATTTAAGAAAATGAAAATACCAAGTTGAACACTTAAACACTTCTGGTAGGAATGTAAATTCATATACCCACTTTAGAAAACTGTTAATGCCAAATCTACCCAACTGGGCATCTATTCTTTGACTGGATAATTCTAATCTTAGATTTGTGTACAACAGAAATGAACATGTATAACCCAAAGACAGATTACACAAGTTCAAAACAGCATTATTCATAATATTAAAAAACTGGAAACAACTCAAATGTCTATCAGTAGTAGAGTGGATTCACACTATGAAAAAATAAACTAAAGTGAAAGTGTAAATTCTTGTCTTGAACATAATGTTGAGTAAATTAATCCAAGAGCAAAAAAAGTACAATAGAATACATACTATGTGAATACATTTTTACAGAGGTAAAAAAACAGACAAACCTGATAAAGCAAGAAGTCTAAATAGTGTTACATTTGGAAAAAGGTAATATCTAGGATAGTCTGTGTTGTTGTTGTTAGGTGCCGTCGAGTAAGCTTGAACTCATGGTGACCCTGTGCCCAACAGAGAGACACTGTCAGGTGCTGCACCAGACTCCCGATCTTTGCTATGCCTGAGCCCATTGTTGCAGCCACTGTGTCAATCCATTTCATTGAGGACCTTCCCCGCTTTCATCGACCCTCCACTTCACCAAGCATGACATCCTTCTCCAGAGAATGGTCCCTTCTGACAACATGACCAAAGTAGGTGAGACAAAGTCTGGCCATTCTCACTTCCAAGGAGCATCCCAGCTGAACTTCTTCCATGACAGATTTGTTAGTTCTTTTAGCAGTCCATGGTACTTTTAGCATTCTTCGCCAACACCACAGCTCAAAAACATCAACCCTTCTTCAGTCTTCCTTATTCATTGTCCAGCTCTTACGTGCATATGAGGCGATTGAAAACACCATGGCTTGGGTTAGGTGCACCTTAGTAATGCACTATTTCTTGAAGTGGGTGGTGGAGCACAGACACAATCTCTTGGTGAACACTAATGAAGCTATAAAGTTTTGATCTGGACATATTCCTGTATATAAATTGCACTTCAATTTTTAAAATGTTTACTTGAAAGAATTATTCTGTTTATGATAGACTCTGTTTTGAACAAAATCCTTTCATCCTTCCTTATTCCAGGAAATGATGAGCAAAGTCCAGAAGGGTTCTGTGGGGCATTCTGCAAAGAATGAAAAAAGTCTAATTTCATAGATGTCTCTAAATTGCACATTTAAAGTTGATCAAAACAAAAATTCCAATGTTTGAAGTAATGTACTCATCAATATGTTACATGAAACAAGAACACCGAAATGGTGATAATCAGCTTGAAGCTGAATTACAGAACACAGAGGTTCAGTGCACTATTACTCTACTTTTGTGTGTGCTTGCTAGAAATTTTTCATTAATATTTTTAAAGAATAAAAACACAAGCATCCATCTATTATAAAGAAAAGGGAATGAAAAACAAAATGGATAACAAACAGACTACCACAGGGTGGAAGAAAAAAGAGTTAGAAGATGCTGTAATATCCTAAAATGTAATTGTAAAACATGTTTTACTTTACCTACAAATTTCAGAAAAAAAATCTTATATTTATTCTTACTTTTACCCCTGTCTCCTTTCTTGGATATCTATTCCTATTCCTATTCCTATTTCTAGGATTTATTTTAACCCTACTTACCTTTAATAACTATTCTTGCCTCCAAACTCCAATTTATCACTGATTATTGGTTATCCAAACTCACTGCCGTCGAGTCGATTTCGACTCATATCAATCCCTCCTTGGGTTTCCGAGACAGTATCATTACGGAAGTAGATTGCCCGACCTTCCTTCCAAGGAGTGGCTGGTGGGTTTGAACCACCAGCCTTCTGGTTAG